TTAATTGCATTGACTGCTTTGGCCCTGCTTCTAAGAGGGAGATGGCAATTTTCCGTCCCTGAATGTGTCAACACTTAATGCTTTTCCATTATAAACCCACTGCTCCCATCACATCTAATGATTTCCCATAGTTTTATCATCATCCTGAATGCTAACGTCAATTAGCCCATCCACTGTTTTCTGGCCTCATGCTGCGTAATCAATAGAAGGTCAGACTTCCTGTACTTTTTCAATTTTATAGCTATGAGTATATTAATAATTTATACATTTATATTGGATGTAGTTACCAAGGTGAGAGTCAAGCTCTGGACAGAGGATGGACACTGGATGAACATAGTTTCTCTCCTGTGGTTTCATGTTAACGGGAGTTTAAGCACCATGTTTGTGGTATTTGCGCGACATTTATCCTTTCAAATCATTCCAAACCTTTTTGTGTTTACATATTGACAATTTATATTGACATTAAAAACAGTATAATCTAGTTTCAAAGTACCGTATTTTCCGCACTATAAGGCGCACCGGATTATAAGGCGCACCTTCAATGAATGGCCTATTTTAGAACTGTTTTCATGTATAGGGCGCACCGGATTATAAGGCGCATAGAATAGAACGTGTTTACAACTGAACAAGGCTGGGAGATATTGTGAATATATAAATATAAATACGTATAAAATGTAACGTATAAAACTACAAAAACAAAAGTACATAAGACGATTTCCCCAAATAATAAATTATTTCTTTGACGTTTCTCTTAACTCTCAAAACGTAGTTTTATACGTAGTGCATTCACAATAACTCAACGTTGTTCAAACGTTAATGTGCATATTCACAATATCTCCCAGCCTTGTTCAGTTGTAAACACGTAAAAGAAACACAGTCTGATACCGCTAATTCAAACGTTAGTGCTGCCCAAACAGTCGATCGCGATCGACAGGTAGATCGCTGACTCATTCTCAGTCGATCGCGAGATGTTTTGTCAATATAAAATACAATTGTAAAATAGAAAAGTGATTTCAATTTCATCTCATTGCACTGTTTCCCACACACGATACCTGTGTTGGGAGCCCAAGTATACTTCCGACCTGTGTGTTTTTAATTTTTAATTTATTCATGAAATTGCTGCGTGCATGAGAGAGCGAGCGAGAGAGCGAGCGGGGGAGCGAGAGAGAGAGAGAGCGCGCGCAAGAGAGAGTGCAGGCATGCGCAGGACGTGCAGGTAAAACCGGGGGGGGGGTAAATGTTTTACCAAAAAGTCATTTATAGAAACTATGCTACGAGTATTAAGCACATTTGATGAAGCTAATTAAATGCGTTTGTAGGCTGTTGGTAAAGGCTATGGCTCACTGTGGACTGGTACATCTCGGCAGACTGGTAACTTTAAAAGTAGATCTTGGTTCAAAAAAGGTTGGGCACCCCTGCGTTAGTGCATAACTCAACATTGTTCAGTTACGTATAACACGTAAAGCTCACTTTTTCAGTTCATTCCCCGTCCACGAATCCCTCGAATTCTTCTTCTTCAGTGTCCGAATTGAACAGTTGGGCGAGTACGGCATCCAACATGCCCGGCTCCCTCTCGTCATTATCCGAGTCAGTGTCGCTGAGCGCCGTGTACAACCAGTATGGATCAACCAATTAACCAATTGATCCATATATAAGGCGCTCTGGATTATAAGGCGCACTGTCGTTTTTTGAGAAAATTAAAGGCTTTTAAGTGCGCCTTATAGTGCGGAAAATACGGTAGTAACTTTTTGAGGTGAACCCACTTGATTGATTTTATGTTTAAGATATACGTTAAGGCTGTAATAGTTCTGAGATCAATTCTGTAGCTATGTGGAACATCTTTTCCCTCTGATTTTTAAGCACATTTAGCGGAGATAATAATATCCTCAGAAAGTGTAAGTCACACTGAACCTAAGAATAAGGATATCATTCCCCGTGTGTTTAGATCTGACTGATTCAGGCTAAGACTCCAACAGGGACGACTAATCTGATGTAAATTGTAGCACGACGTGTCTCTCTCAACGCCCCCCCCTCCAGCTCTCCTGCTGGTTTGAAACCTCTGATCTCGATAGATGCTGACACCTGAACATTAAACCTCATTCCAAAACCATGTGCATTAATAAGCTGTCACAACTGTTTCCTCTCCTCTGGGAAGGCTTCCCACAAAATATTGGGACCTGGCTGCAGGGATTTGCTCCCATTTAGCCCCAAGAGCACAAGTGAGGTCAGCTGCTGATAAGACCTGGCTGGCAATCAGAGTTTAAATCCATCCCAGAGGTGTTGGAGGGGGAGGCTGAAGTCAGAGGGGTGACTCAAATGTCAGGAGTGCATCAGTCTTTAAGACTTTCGGACTTAGCAGGTGCTTTCCTGGGAGTCTTAAAGCTGAGGGCTTTCCAAACCCATAATGTACTCAGTTCAAAAGGGACCTTAAGCAGACATAAGGTAGATATCAATGGCGACTGCTTACCTTACCAAACCTCAATGATTCAATCACCCTAAATTAGTTGTAATTACAACATTCATTTAGTCATGGAAGCCTAAAGTGATATTAATATGAATCCTTTTCAAGTTACACAAATAACTAGAATTGGCCGAAGAGGTGATGGCGATCCATTGAATTGTTTTGGTCTTCATGGCTGTTACAGTTCAAACAACTAAACTACCGTTGGCTAAAACATTAGTATAGAAGATATTTGGATTCGGTCAGGTCAACTTTTTGTACTGAAAACTAGAAAAATAATTGCTTTATGGTTTTCTACGTGGTCATTGTCATTGACAGTTAGCAGCTTTCCCCCCATCAGAGGAGAAGATCCCCGTTGACTTGCATTTTGTCAGCCAAAAAATTTAAACACATCGACCAACAGACCCGGTGATTTTAATCATTTAAAACACTAAATAGAGCTCGTCCTTCATCCGGGCTTACTGATTTATATAAGAACAAGGTGTCATAACTAAAAACTCCAGTGGGTTAATATCCATCTGACAAAGTTGCAATACTCTGATAAATATGTTTTAGATGTAAACCATGAGACTCAAAATTCTGAGTGTGAATGCTAAATGTCTGAAAGCAAATTGAGAGCAAATGAAAGCAGTAGCAATACGTTTTTCCTTCACTGAAACACAGTGGTAACCCCCACTATAAGAATTTCCCCAGAAAAATCTTACACTACAAAAAGACGAGGGTGTGAACCAGCAGGTGTGTCCCCACCATCATCCGACATGTCCTTGAATAGGAGAGGTACAGGGAGGGCCAAAGCACATATTCTTGTGTAAGATCTCTTGCCAGGTTTGGCCAGCAGAGTCTCCTGGCCATACATTTCTATTAAACATATGTAATTACCAGCACTGTGTGCTCGTAATAAGCAAGGAGAGCCAAGTGGCACAATGACAAAGCAAACTGGGCTAATCCCTGTCACACTGTTCTGATTTCTTTTCCCAGCCCGCTTTCTCCCAGGACTGGTGAGCCTCTCCTAGCGTGCAAAATCTTAAAGTGATTTACACTCTGCTGCTTTTCCTGCCATGACATCGTGCCTTATCAACAATGCTAACATGGCAACCTGTGAAATCTCTACATATGAAATTACAAGAGGTGTGATTAGAATGACTCCCAGACATCCTGGAACCTGATTTTTTTTTTTTAATGCTGACTCTTAACACAGAACTTGAAAAATGTGCACAGGATGCAGGAGTAAAAATGCTGTTAGTGGACAATAGTAGCTGTGGTGTGCTGCACAATGCAAATTAATTCAGCAGTCAGTGAAATTCGGACCAGTGCAGAGGAGGGCAGGAGCTGCATGCAAGAATAAGCTCAGTGTACCTTTGCTTTAGTTCAGCCTGATCCAGGATGAAGTAGCATTGGTTCTAGTTTTATATTCTCTTTGGTTTTATTTTAATGCAAGAGAAAGAAAGCAAGGAAATATAGCTTGAAATAGTCAAAGTTGAGTCTCATTATCAACTGCAAACAAATTGAGTGAACACAACTTTTCAACTTATAACATTTTTAGATCTATTTAGATAATTTCTAAAGATGTGGAGACATGTGGAGCAGATTTGTGGTTGACATCTGCCCTGCTTCACACACAACACAACACATGTGCAAACCCTTACACACAATGTTTGAGTCATCTGAGATAGAGGAGCAAGCAGAAACTCTATCATAAATATTTACATTTATGTGATGGTGATTTTAAACGTTCTTTTTCGATCCAGGTCATAGTTTGTAGTAAGCGTACACATGTAACATTAAATAAGATGCTACTACTAGTTATTGAAGCAAACAGATGCAGTGCTAACTGAAGGCTCTGTAACGTTAGCCGGTTTTATTACAGGATAAACTTCCCCGGGCAAAAGTAGAAAACCACAGTTGACACTCAACACCAGCTCCTGTCAATACTTGGCCATAGCATGGCACAATTGCTGATTGTATCCTGGAATTCCTGCTTTATGACTCCTTCTTCCTTTTGATAGAATAAACAGTGTTTTTACAAAATAACTGCCAAAGTGTAACCAGGCCATATTCAAACCCCGGAGTTAAGGAAAGTTATTAGAAACTGAAATGACAGTTTTTTGGTATTGGATCCAAACTAACACTGCAGATACGATTATTGTGCGCATTACCTATAAACTAAATATTGAAAAGGCTTTTGTGAAATTGTGCTTCTTGCCTTTAAAGGTTTTTTTAGGCTGTTCTTCCATTGCTTTCTATATTATTAAGATGTGGTTATTTAATTTGCCAAACTGACAGGCCTTGCTGAGACCATCTCGCTGTGTAATAACAAAAACACCCTCTGCTTTTTCTTTGCTTACAATATAGATGAACTTCTTCTTCTAATAGTGTTGTTTAGATTACAATGTCTCCTGCAGCTGTGATCCTGATTAATACCGGTATTATACCAACCAAAACATAAACAAGAGGGACAGAAGGGAATAAATGTAGAGGGAGAAAACTAATGTAACCAGTGGTGAAATGTGGAGGTGAAATACAGCTTCTGTTGTTGTACCTTGCTGCAGGAAGGATGCTGAGGAGCAGGAGGAGGATCCACAAGCCTGAGTCCACAGATTTAGGTTTCCAAAGTGCAGCGGCCATATCAGTTTATCAGAGAGGACTCCTGTGGAGAGCGAGCGAGAGAGAGAGAAAGAGATGATGTCATTGTGAAGCTGCAGACAAACACCAGCAAACAGCTCATAAGCTACTTTAAAGAACAATGTAAACATGCTTACAGCCTCTTTTGTTTCTAATAATCCATTTAAACCCTCAATTATAGTCCATCAGCATGCTCAACCCGTCTACTGACTGCTTTATATTTTATTTTTACATGATTGAAGGCGTCAGTTTGGCCTTAAACTGATTCACTGACATGTGAATCAGGGCATGTTGCTGTCATACATGATTTTCTGTGACTTTTTCCATGTGACATAAATCAAACATGACAGTGTTGTTAACAATATGTGATCTGCTCACATTTTTCCGTTTGTCCAAAAGAGTAAACCAAAAAGCCGAAACACCAGAGCTAGTTAAATCATAACTAACCATGTGCTTCATTAAACATCTCACAGTGTCAGGGTATACCAGCACACACAGATGTACCCTCCTCTCCTGCTCATCACGGAGCTTTAACCTCACACAATTGTCAGATAGTAATTAGTTCAGTGATGCTATTTAGCGGTGAGCTGTCACACCTGTGTGGAGGACACTGTCTCCTATGAGCCGGGAGCTGCGGATCCACAACACCTGGTTAACCTGTCTTGTTAGGCAACTAAACTTGTAATTGCTTTGTGAAGATCACTCAGACAACTCATGTGATATTAGACAATACATAAGTTTTAATTAATTACACGTTATAGTTAATAATATTAAACTGAGCGACTTGTCGGTGTTGGAAGAAAGAGAGAAACTGGAAAACATCTTTTTTTAAATTTGAATATGTAAGTCATGGAATGGGCAATTTCTAGTTTGATCTTTAATTGGTAATTACAAATAATAAATAATCACATCAAGGTATGTTTTATTTTTTTAAAGTCGGAGGAGACGGCTTTAGAGAGACCACCAAGAGGAGAATTTTATAAGTTTGCTACCATAAAAATTCAAAGCCAGTCCACCCCAAACCAAGTGACCACCTCAGGTGTTAAAAAAAAGATGCTGAAGAGCAAAAACATGTCATTCCTCGAGTGTCCACTGGAAGCTGTCTCTAAAAGTGAGTAAATCTCCTTTAAGCACAATGTAATGAAATATCAGTTTTTACAGCAGAAAGAAAACATATTAACTTCTTGGTACGGAAAACAATTCAGGTCTGTGCAGCTCATTTCTGTATTCATGACAATTTTAACTCACTTGTTTTATAATTTAATAAAGGTTATGCATAATAAGCTACATGGACACTTTGAGTGCCATGTGACAACCTATAGCTGTCTGAAAGATGTCAACAGCTACTGTAATCAGTTACTGAACAGTGACCCAATTGGCTGGAGGTAAGTGGTAGAGTCCGTCATCTCTTCACCGAAAGGTCTCAGGGTTTAAACCCTGATTCCTGCATTCACATGCTGAAGTGTCCTTCAGAAGAAACAGAACCCCAAACTGCTCCCACAGTTTCACCAGCGGCGTGTGTAACATGAATGGAGTAGTACTGTTAGGCACTTTAGTTATCAGTAAAGTGCTTTGAGTAGTCAGAAGACTAGAGAAGTGATGTATAAGTCCAAGTCCATTTACCAACTTCACCTCTCGGACATGTTTGTGTTGTTGGTCTGTTTTTTTTCATCCAAAAAATGGACGAAAATGGGTGTCTTGCATGTATCAGGGTTATTGTTGGCGTTTCCTCAGAGTGGCTGCAGAAGATGGAAGAGATGATATCATTGGTTAATTTAGGTGAGGTGGTACGTGTTGCTCACCCACCGCTATGTTATACGTGCTCCCTTAGCTTCTTCGTCAAATAAATAACTATAGTCAGTGACGACCAAACCAGAATCTCACTCTGTGGGAAACATCAGGGGAACTAGCTCTGTCACCAACTCGTGAATTAAACCACAGGTGTTGATTGTACATCTTTGATGCTATTTTGATCAGCCGAACTGTGGCTAGATCTCCAGTGCCAACTTCGTTTTCAAATAAGGTCACCTCAGACAGGAAGAACCAGCATGTCGTCAGGTAAACCCCAAACTTGAGGCTCATACAGTCAAGAAATCATTGGGTGACATCACATTTGCTACATGGATTATTTATGCAGCCTCAGCCCCAAGCACATAAAAATTCCCTTCTAAAGTTGCTGTATTAGATGACAAGATGTCAACAAAACAAACAACAACAAACTGTAAAAGGAGTGCAGACTACCCTGTTCTCTAATTCCTGTCTGACTAGCTTGCTTGTTTTACCTCGAAAGACTCTGCCTTTGCATTTTTATTTTTGTCTGAAAATTTGATTTATTATTTGTCATCAGGACTTAAAAAGAAAAATGCTTCTATAATGAATTGCCTAGCATGCCTTTAAAAGAGTTGTGATTGTATATTATGAGTTAATGTTGGGAAGGTTTCTGCAATTTCTGTCTCTAAGTGTAGAGAAGGGAATTTTCTTGAGGAATGCTACGGCTTCACTTCCTACACCCATCATACTTAACGCCCATAAACTGACAGTATATAGCTCTATAACTATTAGCGTTAAGAATGCGGGCTGAAATAATCAAGTCCAACTCAAATTGAATACATTATATTTTAAACTACTCCAAATACCCTTGAGTGAAATGAAAACGAATATATGAAGAGAACACACATGTTTCAATCATTAACACGGTCACTGCGAGTGCTTGATTGTGTCCTTAAACTCAGAAGACCCTCAGTAATCATGAGAGATGATGTCGGTCACAAGCTCCAACCCTTTGAGTGGTGCATTAAACACAATTTGACCAAACAGCAGCGGGATAATACATCACATAAAAACCCAGAAATAAAGCCATTATACAACGGCACACAATTTCCTCCTTCGTTATATCTCCTCTATACATGTTGCATAGCGACTGGGCTCCTAACTCTGTAATTATTGTTAATTGTTGCATGGAGGTTACAGTCTGGCAATTTAGAGAAAGATTAAATGACCCCTCATTAAAAAAACATGTGCTCAGAATACTGAATGCAGCCTTAAAAAAAAAACACCAGGAAGGCGAAGGGAGAGGAAAACAAATCACTGCAAAACACTGATGTTCTGCAGTAACACAGCCTTCTGAGGTTACACACATGTAGCAGCTTTGTTTCGTACTTAAAAGGCTCTCATTGTGCTTTTGTGAGAACCAGCCCCCTTCCTTTATTTGCCCCCATATAGACAGAAGATCAAATGCTTTCCTAAAGGGGGAATCAGTGTTGTCTGCAGAGCACTGATCATTACAGGATGAGGGAGCAACTGAATGGAGGCCGCATCTGTAGCTACGACCTGAGAACATCCTTCTGCTCTGTGTTTATGATGCTTAAACCACATTGAAAGAGCTTTCTTAGTATTGATAATAGCTCAGCACCAACTTAAATCAAGATCAAATTCATCTTTACACTGGCTGGGATGCTTGTGAGTCAAAGGAATCTGTATTACCAGTTAAGTATTTTAACTTGCATGGCTTTTGTGGGAAATAAGAAAAGCTGATTTCTTGTAAATCTGCAACCAAACTTTTGAGATATTTTAACATAACCCGCTCATAAAAACCTTGTTTCAACGCTTAGAAAGGCTCAGACATCACTACTTGTGGCATTAAGGGTACATACCTACATACATATCCCCTTCCTCTCATTGTGCGACACATTTAACAGCTTCTAAGCACTTCATGCTATGTAAAGCTGCAAAATATAGATGATCAATGGTTAATGAAAAAAAAAAGAAAGATCCAAAACAGCTACACTCTCTTTAGATAATAATCTGATATTAACAATAATTTTTTTTTTTTTCCCACTTGTTCCGGAAGAAGAGATGATGGTAGCATGTGCAGTCATAAATATGCTCATAAATGGGATACATCAATCAAAATGAGTGACTGAGCTCATATGAAATGTAATTAAGGATTAATTGATTCCATTACTTTGTTATAATTAATGTTCGAAACATATTGGAGGAAATCACTTTATGCACTTGCAGGCTATTTGACAGGAAGTGATTGTCATCCAGTGTCATTAATCCTGGAGTGATGAGGTGTTATGGATGTAAAGATATTCACAGGCATTGTCGTTTACCTGGTAGTGAGTGTCCATGGTTGCCATGAAAAAGCATCTATTTATTTACGAATGTGATGTGGGACGGCTTTGGCTCAGTTGGTAGAGTGGGTTGGGGGTTCGATCCCCAGCTCCTGCAGTAACATGTCCGATGTGTCCTTGGGCAATACACTTAACCCAAAGTTTAAGTCAGTGGGGTGTGAATGTGTAAGATTAGTTACTTCTGATGGTGACTACATAGCAGCCTCTGCTCTCAGTGTGTGAATGTGTAGGTGTGACCCGTTGTGTAAAAGCGCTTTCAGTATTCAAAAGACTATAAACGCGCTATACAAGCTCAAGTCCATTTACCATGTGATAGACCTTCTTTCTTTGGCTGTAAAATATGATTGGAACCCTGAAGGTCCCAGTGGGTTAATTGTGTGTCTGAATCTTTGGCATGTTTTCAAGTAGGCCAGGTTATCCCTCCTATAACAGGAATACTTGAGTATCTTGGCTATTTAACCCAAACTGAGTCACTTGAAAAACCCACTTTGTAAAAAAATTGTAAAGGCAGCCATTTACTCTGAGTGAGGTTCATGCTAATTTGTTGAAATGTAAAAATGTTTCTTCATAATTTCCACCCTCATCTCCCTTTCAACAGATGTCAAGCTCAAGGGCAGGCCAAGTCCCAGAGTGTGTCAAATTAAACCGGTCCTGTGTCGCCTCACAAACGCTGGTAAACACAGAACTGCAGCCAGCTGAGTTAATTTTTTTGGCACATATTGTACTCCTCTCTTTATTTCTGTTCTTTTCTCTGTGTACATTTGACTCAGGGTATATATGAAAACTAATCCCGGATCGTTATCCATTAAAGATTTAATGTTGCTCCATAAAAAACCTACAGGATGCCCTCGGGGGTTCAGAGGTATCATTTCCTTGTCT